CCCCCCCCCCCCCAAAGAAAGCAAGCGCACCCCCCCCCCCCCAAAAGGGGGGGCAACCCCCCCCCCCACCAGGGCGCCCCCGGACAGGGGGAAGGGGAAGAGCCCCCCCCCCCCGCCCAGAGGAAAAAAAAAAAAAACCCGCCAGGGGAACGCCCCCACCCCCCCCAACAAAACAGGGGGGCCCAACAAGGGGGCCCGAAAAAAGGGGGAGGCACGGCGAGGGGACACCCCCCCCCGGAAAAAAAAACAGAGCACGGGGGGAAGAGGGGGGGGGGGGGGGGGGGGGGTCACGAGAGGGGAGGGGGTTGTGTTTCGGTCGCGATACAGTAGTACGGGTGCTGCTGCGGGGCAATGCTGTCGACTTAAGTGTGGAAATCAGGTCATCGCCGCTCGAGACAGCAAGTCAGGCACATACCACCAAAGAGACGGCGTCCACGAGAAATGTTCGCGATCAACGGGAAAGTTGACCAGCGGTTGTGTCAGCGTTAGAGGGGGGGTGGGAACAACAGCAGTGCTCCCTCATGCATGAAAAAAAATATACCGGTATCAGGCCCACCGGCGAGCCTGGGAGAAAGACATGCCAGGAGCCGAACCGGGGGTTGCCAGAACACTGTTCACACGCGCAAGAAATCGCTTCCCCCCCAAAAAAAAAACACCTACCCGCTCCGCCTCCTACTTTTGTCACCTATTGACTTTATTCGCACATGTGAGACTGGTGTGTTTCGTGGCTCACTCTCAGCCAACGCAACCATTAAGACACGAATACACGCCCCATACCACAGTGAGAACCCGGCGTGCTCCGCCCCGGCTTTGTAGGGACATGAGGTCAACAGTCTAACGACTACGGCGTGCACGACTCCCCACACCTTGAGGCCGGCGAAGTGGATGCACGAGTGGAATTGCGGGCAGGCCTCGAGCACCTTGCCCAGGGCGGCCGCGTCGCAGAGGTCAACGTTGTGGAACACCAGCCTCTCCGGCGCGCAGCCGGTCAGCACGCGCACGCGCCTCAGGCTCTCCTCGCTGCGCGTTCATGTGTGTGCGCGCGTGCAACGTTGGTATCTCTTGTGAGGACATGTTTTATCTTACAAGAACATACAATGGCGGCTACGGTTTGAGAGATGGTGGTGACAAGCCAATATTTCTCTCTTAAATCCGGTTTTCTCTTGAGCCGTACTGCTGTGAAATGTATGTATTTCTCATGGTAGGTGACAAGCCAGTTTGACTCTCTTAAAATAAGTACTTTCTCTTCATTAGCCTCTCTTAAACCGTAGCCGCCACTGTACTGTTCTTTTACAAGAATATTTTTCTTTTGCAGGTTCGGGGGGCGAGAAAACGAAAGCTTCAACAGAGGTAGTGCTTCCGCTACCACTGCTAAATTTGTCTTGGACTCTTTGTGGAGAGGTGGATTTATTGTGTCAGTCAGTAGGGCAGAAAAAAAGAAGAAGCTGAAACGGTTGCGGTGCCCGCACACCGGAAGCGTTTCAGGCTGTCCCTCTCGCGACGTTGGTGAACTCGTACGATACAGGTTCTCACGTTTCTCCGTACCGCGCAGCAGACGGTTTACTCTGCGCGACGCCCGGGACTATATCAGAGCCCTTCAGTCAAGGAGAGGCGAGGCCGCGGGGCAGGCAGAAGCTGCTAGCTAGCGGAGCTGAACTAACTAAAAATTAACATGAACACTCCGAAGTTTGTAAAGCTACATAAAAGGCACAGAGGAACTTGCGCCCAGGTATATAGATGAACCGGGAGATCAAATCATCAGGTCCGTTTTTTTAGTGGAAGGAACCCGCAAACAAACAAGAGGGCTACGTATCTCACGCGTATGTGCTTGTGCTTGCCTGGAGTTGCAGAGGTTATCAGCGACGACGACGTTGTAGCCAGCCTCAAGCAGGAGAACCACCGTGTGGCTACCGATATCTGCAAGGAAGAAAATGAGAGAAGGAGGGGGGGGGGCAGGGACACACATCAGGAAAGAGAGAAAGAGAAAGGTACATGCACACGAAAAGTACCACACATGGCATGTCGATGAGCAGCTCAGCGTCCTCTTGTGTGGAATAAAGCCGGCATGAACGCCCGCCGTAAGTCATCGTATTTTCTTGGAAAGCACCCACACGCGCATGCTGGTCGCGGGGCATGAAATATATTGAAGGCAGTTTTCCCCCAATTATTGGATTATTTTTCTCCATTTGCAATAAGCATACCATAGGGTATATACAGTAGTTATCACTGGGCGTGTATTCACCCAGTTAAACAACGGGGTACGCCCCGGGTGCAAAAGTTTGAAGATCAAATGCGTGCCTGATACACGTTGGGCGGCAAGTAGCAGTTTGACACTTGCCGCGCATAAAAGCGTTTGCGCTCCTCTTTCTTCGCGATTTTCTCATCTGTCTCTTTCAAGGCAAGGGTATGGTGGTGTAATCTGTAGTGGTACTGCTGTGAAGTGTCGAAGGTAAAGCCGCAGCTGAAGGGCGCCGAATGTTTTGAGGCATCACAGATTGTGGTTCAAAACAAATATTTTCCCGTCATTGTAGCAATACTCTGCTAAAAAAATGTTTGATTGGTTTGGCCGCGGCAGGGTACGTCACACTGCCGTCGGAATGCACGACACCAGCAGCCGTGAGAGAGTCCACCATCAAGAATACCAACAGGTTCAGAATAAATTTCGTTGTTACGTTATCAGAACGGAATCACGGCGCTTTCGTTCGGTCTGCCATGGTGCGCAACGTGGTGCGGGATGCAGGTAGGTGCGATCGTGTGGACAGCCCGATTGTATTGCAGACAATCAATGTATTTACCAAAATTCCGAGAGGCGAGAGCTGCGAGTGGCTCGTGCTCGCATACATGAGCGGGGTAATATATCTGTATGCTCACGCACCGGCTGGTTATCATGCCCAACGTGAGATGCACGCAGATACGGTAGGCACAGAACAACTGCAGCAGTGCATCTCCTCTGTGGTTGATACCACTTAGTACTTCGAAGTATGCATGCTCCTGGAATATTATGTACCGGTCATCGCGCGGGGTGTCAACGACAGAGCAGGCGTGAGCGAAAACTCTCAAGGGCCTACCAAACCAACAACACACACACGGGCACCAACAGGCTCACCCGCCCCCACAACCGCGCTGCGATTCACACCAAAATGGCCGCCGGCAAAAGACGGGGAGAGTCAGCAGGACAGACTCGTTTCGAGAGATCTGAATCTGAACATCTGAACATTCGACTTGCGAGTTTCAGACCTACGCCAGTATTCTCGAACAAACAAACGCGATCCGGACGACACAACTGTCCGCGCGACAGCTTGCATCTAGCAGTTAGACGGACAGGCACAATCACAGTAGCAGCAGCAGCTTGGCGACTCACATCCAGCCCCACCGGCGACGAGGACCGTCTTGGTCGAGTTTGCACTCATCTTGCCTTGGTTGAATTGATTGATGCTCTAGAGGGCGGTTGTTTGTTGCTGCGTTGCTGAGATGTGCCGAGTGCCGAAAGAGGGGGGACGGAGGAGGATCAGATATCGGTGGTTCGCGAGCTGGAACAGATTAGCGCGTAGTATAAGGGAATCGGAGACAGGGTGTGTGTGCTGCTGCTGCTGCTGCTGGTCGGAGGGCACCGGACACAACGAAGCACAACCGCCGAGTTGACAGCGGGCTATCTCTAGTCGCAAACACAGCGGGTTAGACTGCCTCCCACACCCTGGTCTGAAACGTGTGTACACGACAATAGACACGCTCAAGACTGCAGTAGGATGGGAGCAATGCTGTGAGCGTATAGAGGGGCCGCGTAAACCAGAACGAAGTTCAGCGACAAAAAAGAGATGCGGCCTGATCGCCCTCAGCTGATCAACTTTGCGTCTGCCGAGCCCGCTCACCTGTGTTTGTGCGCCTTCTTTGGAGCGAGCTGCTGTGGAATGCGGTGATGTGGAATGTGGGCTGAAATATGAGAGTTGTGCAAGTTGCGCCTTTTTCTTTGAGAATTTTTTTGAGGTTACGCCGCATCAACTAACATAGTTTCACCGCGTTTGGTTTGTTCCTGTAAAATTCGCTCCTCCATCACACCCCCTCCCCTCGCACGCCACGCTTGTTCCCCTGTGTCCTCTCGCGTTGCGGCCCTTGCATCCCAAGCCCCCTTCCACCGCCACCATTGCGTGAGGCCCGAGAAACTCTGGAGATCTTTTAGAGAGGCTCGTATAATCTGTGAACACGTGAACACCTCTCTCCCTCTCGCAGAGGTACCGCCGAAGAGCAACCCAGAACAAACGAGTAACATGGGAGACTTCGTTGCCAGCTCCATGGCGGCGACGGCCACCGCGGCCGGCGGCGGCGGCGGCGGCGGCGGCGGCGGCGGCGTACCTGCTGACCTCCGCGCCACCTTTGCCGCCCACGGGCAGGATCACGTGTTCAAGTACGTCGACAGCGGTGCGGTCAAGGCCGGGTCGGACGAGATCTCCGCCCTCGTCGCCCAGCTGCGCACCATCGATCCTGCCCGCATGAACCAGCTCCATCTCTCTACCACAGGTGCAGCAGCAGTAGCAGCAGCAGCAGCAGCAACCATAGCCGCCGGCACCACGCGTGCATTGCTAAGCACACAGCAGTGTAGTCTGTCGCTGAAACGTCTGGTAGTTAGGTATTGCCTGTGGCGACACCGCCGACGATACAACAAGAACGATATTTCCTGTTCAAGCCCACAACGTAGGTAAATGTTACTCCGCGACACGCAGCAGCCTCACTGCCGCTGCGTTCCTTGCTGCTACCTCGACCACCCGCAGCGGCGGCAGCAGCCGCCGACGCCGACGGCAGCGGCGGCGGAGCCGCGCAAGACATGGAGCCCATCGAATCCTTCGGCAGCGTCGCCTCCGCGCACCCAGACGAGGCCGCCCGGTGGTTCGAGACCGGCCTTGGCGCCGTGAGGGACGGGAAGGTGGCCGTGGTGGTCCTCTGCGGCGGACAGGGCACCCGCCTAGGCTTCGACGGTCCCAAGGGGATGTACGACATCGGTCTCCCGTCCGGCAAGACCCTGTTCCAGCTGCAGGCTGAGCGGCTGCGCCGGGTGTGCGCGTTGGCAGCGGGTTGTAGTGGTAACGCTTCCGACGGCGGTAGCAATGGCGCCGCCGCCGCCGTTGCCACGCCGCGCATCCCCTGGTACATCATGACGAGCCCCCTGAACGACGCCGCGACCAGGGAGTTCTTCGCCGCTAGCGACTACTTCGGCGTCCCGAAAGAGGACGTATTCTTCTTCTCCCAGGTGGGTGTTTTTTGTTTTTTGTTTTCGGCGCGGCGCGCACCATGAGAGCAAGAGTGTGGTATTGTCTCAAACGGGGTGTAGTCCTTCGTTGAGTGTTCGCATGTAGTCGGCGTTTTCAAAACATCCGCGGTGGCGTCTTGTTCTCCTTTCCTTGATACGTGGATGGGCTGCGCAGGACCCGCAGTGCTAACCCTCGCCGGGAAGGCCGTATCTTGGTCTAACACTAAGACACCCACAAGACGGACAGGCACGTGCGCGTGCTAACGCTAGAGTTTCGCCCGTTCATTGTGCATCCATCCCTGGCCCGATCGCTTTTTTAGGCGACCTCGGGTTAACGCTTGTTGACGAACACTCTCTCCTTCATGGGCCCTATTTTTGCCATGGGGGGATCTGTCGGTATTCATTGACGTCTATCAGTGCGTTGTTGCCATCGATGCCGAGTTGACAAAATATTGTGGAGAAACCGCCTCTACCCCCCCGAGCATGTGGAGGTGCAGCCTTTGGAAAAGGCGCGCCTCGGAATAACTCTGGGCGTTGTCTCGCACAGGGGGTGGTTCTCTCTGTGCACAAAGTCCGAGGCGCCTTGGCCTTAAAAACCATTGCCATCCGCGATCGCGACGGGCAACCAAGACTGGCCTTCGCAGTGCAAACAACATCGTGTAGTATTCTGGTATTCCGGTACGTATTTGGAAGGGAGGCGGGGGTTCAGGAACAGCCTTCTGTGTGACCCCGCTCCCATTCAAAGTAGTTGAAGGGGAGAGAGAGACACAGAGATGTGAAGAGAGAGAAAGAAAGAGAGAGGGAGACAGAGGGAGAAACACACCCGCGCGCACAGTTTTGTATTTTTACCGCACGGAAACTGACGTCTTTTCATTGGTCAGCCGGTTGGCGCGGTCGATGCTACTATTCAAGACACACGGGAGAGAGACACTCACAGACAGAAGACAGAGAGAGAGAGGGAGAGAGAGAGAGAGAGAGAGAGACTTTAACGTGACCTCGGGAAAAAATGCAACTTGTTAAAGTATCCTGACTTTCTCACGCCGTTTCGAACGCACGCGCAGGGCACGCTCCCGTGCATGACGCGCGAGGGCAAGATCATCCTCGAAACCGGGAGCAGGGTCGCCATGGCGCCGGACGGCAACGGCGGAATCTACCCGGCGCTGCAGCGGAAGGGCGCTCTCGCCGACATGCGCTCCCGGGGGGTGGAGCACGTGCACGTGTTCTCGATCGACAACGCCCTCGTGCGCATCGCGGACCCTCACTTCCTTGGCTACTGCATCGAGAAGAAGGCTGACTGCGGGAACAAGTCGGTGTGGAAGTCCGAGCCCGGGGAGAAGGTGCGTGTGGGCCGTGCCGTACGGAGTACGCGTCATCTGTTGAGTCTCTGCTCGCTTGTTGGGAACGTAGGCGTGTCCCCGTGGGGGAAGAGTCTTGTGTGTGTTGATCTCCTCGTATAGAAGGCCTACAGAAACGGGTCCGCAAAGCAGCCGAGCGAGGGCACCAAGTCTAGGATGTCTCGAACAAAAAAGAAAGTGGTAACCATGCGATTGTGTGCGTTTGGAGGACAAGTCTCAGAATACGCCGTGAATCATGCTGTCGCCCCCTTTCATGTGATTTGTACCTTGAGATCGTGGCCACTTGCAGCACCTTTCCAAAGAAAGAACAACGCGGCCGAATTCGGAACCGAAAAAAAACGGCGGGAAGGGCGAAAAGCCCCTGAGGGAACCGTCTGCACGCGGGTACGCGTCAGATAAACGGAATACTTCTCTCGATGCTCGCTCTACATGGCATACTAATGGGAACGTATTCGATGCGCGATTGACATGCCAGATTTAGGAGACATGTTCGATGCTCGATTAATGCTGTGACAAGATGCGTAAGGGGTGTGCGCAAGCCGTTTTTTTGTGGTCCATGTGTACGTTGCATGTCGTCATTGCATCCCGATAGCAAATCCGCGCGAACCGCTTTCGTTCCCAGCATGATAGCCGGTCCCCGTTGCATCAATGAGGTGACATGGTGGACAGTGGAAGGTACCATGCCCGCCCCCCCCCCAAAAGTACTATCCTGCACAGCATCCACGCGGTCGAACCTCTGATCGAGCCGTCGCGCCCAATAAACAGGTCGGCGTCGTCGTCAAGCGGGGCGGGAAGCCGTGCGTCGTGGAGTACTCGGAGATGGAAAAGGAGGCCTGCGAGCGGCGCGAGGGGTCCTCCAACGGGACCGGCGGCGGCGGCGGCGGCGGCAGGCTCGTCTTCGGCGCCGGCAACATCTGCAACCACTACTTCTCGCTCGCATTCCTGGAGGACACCGTGCTCCCCGGGATGGCCGACATGTACCACGTCGCGCACAAGAAGATCCCGGCGGCGGACGGGTCCCACGGGACGACCCTCAAGCCCGCCGAGAACAACGGCATCAAGCTAGAGTCCTTCATCTTCGACGTCTTCCCGCTCTCCAAGAACATGGTGCTGTTCGAGGCCGCCCGCGAGGACGAGTTCGCCCCGGTCAAGAACGCCCCCGGGAGTTCCACCGACTCCCCGGACACCGCGCGCGAGATGATCTCGCGGCAGGCGAGGCGCTGGGCCGCGGCGGCAGCGGCCGCCGCGGGGGGGGGCGCCACGTCCGGTGGGGACGAGGGGCTGTGCGAGATTTCTCCCTTGGTTTCCTACGGCGGGGAGGGCTTGGAGGGTAGGGCGGGCGAACTTTCGGAAGTGCCGTTCCACATCGAATGAGGGGGGGGGGGTGGAGTGTAGGCGGGGAGGGGTGCTCAATGCGCGTGTTCGATGGCGAGGAGCGCAACCTGCCGTATGTCTTTGGTGGCGTGACGATCGTTTTTCGTTTTTCGGCTGTTAGATCGTTGTGCTACGGTACGTGAATGCATTGATCATTGTTGGTCAAGTGGAACAACACTGCTGCTGTGTATGTGTGTAACCGGCTTGCTAATTGTTTCGCATTGCTGACTCCCTCGGCGTCTCTAGTCCAGTTATGTCATCTTGGTGCGATTTACTCCGCTCGTGCTCCATACTCCCACCCGGAGTCGGCTTGGTAAGACCCTTGGGCTGCTGACCTCTTGAGCGTGTAGGCTGCCCAGGAAAAATCAGGCACCATTTTGTGTACTGTAGATTTGGCATCGTTTCAGCTACAGATTGAAGGAAGCGTAAGAAATGACGAGTGTGTCGTCTGCTCGGGCGACACGGAGGTGTACAGCCGTAGTAGACAAGAAGAGATGCTTTGGAATACGTATCCTGGTTCTGGAAACATCCCACTCTAGTATGTTTTTTGTTGTTGTCTTCACTTCAATTCAGCGCTCACAGCGCTTGTGACGTTTACTCCGTCCCGTGGTCACACAGGTAGTTGTGTAGAAGAATTGTGTTGAGTGAAACGACGTGTGTAAATTTGGCGTGGGGATTTTTCCACTCAGCATGAATTGGGGGCGTTAACCACTTGGAGTTTTTTGGCTATTCTGTGTGTGCGCTTTCGGTACCGACCCCCCCCAAAGACTGACCAATAAAAGGCGTGAGTCTCCTCGAGTCGAACGAAAACGTACTGCATTCGCTTAGCCGCCCCGCCGGGGAGTTCCGGAGAAAAGTGAACAGTGAGAGGGGTTCGCGCTCCAGCAACGGCAAAGCCTACAAATTGGGCGCACACCAAATAAAAGGAACGAGGTTCGAACAGTTGGTACTTGCTCGTGCATGGTGGCTTGTCCATCGCGTCGCCATTGACTTGATGGCGCGTGCGCTTGTGCCGTGTTTTTTGTTCCTAGGACCGTTTGGCACCACGGCGAGTCGTGCCGTGTCCCGCTAACTTGAGGTCATTTCCATGTGTCCATGTGCCATACGCGTTGCCTGCCATAGCTCGCACAAGACTGGCCTAGTTCGTCAGGTTCATCTTGAGGGGGCGTCCTTGTGACTGCCGGAAGCATAAGAAGTGAAAGAGCACACCAGTCGCTTTTGTTGTTACATTATTTTCTGTTTACCAGCCAGTGCGGGCACGCTCCACAGAAAATTCGTTGAATGCGATGCACTACGCAGATGATTAACGTTGCCAGCATGTGTGTGCGGGCATCGACTTATTTTGCAAGGTAAGAGCACAAAGATACAAACACCAACGAACCGCGTCGGAGGCGGCACCAGGCGTGGCGATTTGGAAAGTCCTACAGAGTACGCATAGAGGAATCCCCGGATCAGATAAGTCTATAGCACATAGCTACAGAAGTGTCAGAAATGCTTCCGTAATTGTGCTTGATCACCAACGCTTAGGACGGTTGATTGCCGAGTACTTCTTTACAAATACCATCAACAGCGCTTTCGGGCTGGCCTTTGAAAATATGGTAGCCGTACAACTTGTGCCTGTCTACTCTCTAGGTATCGTCATTTCGGGGTGTCTGTGTCTGTCTTTCTTACACATCGACCGCGGTATCCGGCCGACCAATGAAAAGACGTCAGTCTCAGTGTGGTGGAAAACACTAAAAGCTTCATAGGTCACGATCTGAGGCCCTGTGCGTCTGTCAGTCTGTGTCTGCCGTGTTCTTTCTCCTCTCTCCTCTCTCCTTCGGTCCGCAAGTACAGCCTACAGTCTTAGGAAACATGAATACAAACACAGAAAGACTGTGTCTATATACCCCATAGTCAACCGGCACAGGTTCCTCCGCTGTTTTTTTTTAAAGAATCAAAGAATCACGTTGGTACGTACATCGTCTACCACGGTTGGAACTGTCTACCGTATTCAAACCTGCTTTTGAGGATGCTATCTTGAGATTATTGTGCAGCCTTAAGCCAAGCATGAAGAGAAAGCGAGCTAGAAACGCAGCCATGCGCGTCACGCGTCACAGAGTCATATCCAGCGGCTCCAGGTGCTGAACCGGCAGAATTTTCGCCGCCCACGTGACACCTTTCATCTCTCATCTCTCATCTCTTATCTCTCAACGAAGGGGGAGCTCTGCTACTGAGGTGCACGGGAACATGTTGGCTAAACTTCAATGTAATGTCTCTAGCACCGTCTTGTTGGGCGGTACCCCCGCGTCGTACGACATAATGCATGGGGATCGCACCAACCTCGTCGAAACAAACGATCGCCGCAACAGCAGCACACCAACCAGTACAGCTGGCGCATCGAGTACAATGACAGTCGACCCCCCCAGTAACCCAAGTGCTCCTAAAGACCCACGCACGTCAATCACCAGTGCTCCCGAGGACTTCGGCGAACTGGCCCCTTTCGTTTTCGTTCGATGCGACCATGAACGTCGAGTGGGCGACCGACTGGCCCGATACGACCAAGGGATCGATATCCCTCTTCCTCGCAACCACTCCGATGTGGTCAGGACTCGAGCTGCAAAGTCGGCCGAAGGCAGACGACGCGTAGCGCTGCATTCGTCGGAGGTGGGTGCTGTTTGATCCACGCATCCCATGCATATACTTCCGCTAGACACACGACATTTTCCAATAACAAGAACAACGACGACACTTCATGTAGATGTATTGAACAATCGCCAGGTCGGGTGCGTGGTAGGTACAAGCAGTAGCGAAGCTAACATGGTTCGTGAGGACGTTGGGGGGCGAACATACGTAATGCCCTATGTGAGTGCACAGAGATACCCCAAAAGGGCAACTTTCCCGCTGGAAAGTGATGTCAATAGTACGCAATGATGAGCTGAATCTTCTTTCAGTGCCCCTTTCTCCGCACCGGCTTTGCTTGTAGGAAGCCACCAGACCCTTCTCCCGCCTCAATCGGGAGAAGACGACTCACCTCTTGATGGCGAGGGAGCAGAGAAGCCGGCGGGAGGTGGAAAAGGCGAGGAACGCGTCCCTCAGTGATCGAGGCATCGACGACACGTTAGCACAGGAGATTCGAGGTCTTAATGTGAGATGTGGTGCGCGCAATGTTGAGGTCCACGGGAAAACTCAAATGAGGTGATCGCCGAAAAAAAGCTCCCTCAAAGTTAGATACAACCTGGTATGATGACTTGCAAGATGCGTCAATGATTCAAGACTGCTATCGCCTCTGCAGCCGCAGTTGTTGAAATGTTGGTTCCTGTCTTCCACCGCAACGCAAACGGCACAACATCAGCACCGGGTGCTGGAGCAAATCTCAAAGCTCAAAGGTTTCGAAATCCTGGATCTTGATTGACCACCCTACCGACACGGGCAGACAAACAGAGGGACTCCACTGGAGGCATAGCAATAATCACCAAACGTGGGAGCTACGAGCAAAACAATGCCGGCAATGCTATTCGCACTGCTGTCCTGCGATGGCCCTGAGCATCTCCGCTGTACCCCTCGCCAATGCATGCTCTGTGTCCTCGACTACCGGTACGTATTTAGGCGCTGGAGCAAGCTCGGCACCCCCGTCTGCAGGCCGTGCCGTTGTTGTCGAGGTCGGCGTCTAGCGCGGGATCGAAGCAGGTGCGTACAAGCAGCCGCTCCGTGAGGGAGTGGACTGTTCCCGTTGACAAAGAATAGTCAGGCAACACCTGAAAATCAGCCACCATGTCATGCAGTTCACAAACCAAGTACAACACACACCACGGCCGAAGACGTTTATTCCTGGTGACCGAAACGTATTGCCGAATGTCATACGAGGTCGGTCGGTAGGCGCCGAACGCGAATTCGAGCCAAGCGAGCAACGTAGTTGGCCGCTGTTGCGGCTAGCGAGACGCTGGCGTACAGCAGTGCAACTCAAACACACCACCGCACCACAAGGCTGCGGAATCTTGTAAACCGTAGACGTACGGGTCCGCTCGTGCATTGAATCGTATTCTTTTTTGTCCGCTCGTCCTCATCCGGCGACAAACCAAGCAGGGACGGAGTCGCCGCGAGATGGCGCGCATCACCGATGCCTTCGGGTTAGTCGAGGATGACGACCACCGAGCGGCCGTGGTCAGAGTGCAGGGCGAAGCATTGGACGATGCCTGGATAGCCCTTCTCGGCAGCACCTTGGAGAACAACCACAAGATTCACACCTTGTTGCTCAACCGGTGAGGCTAAGAGTTTTCGGGGAATTCTAGGCGATAAAGAAAGGCCGTGCAACAACTCGTCTCTCAGCTCCCCCACCGCCGCGGTGGTGCATCAGACGAGCGAGGTTTGACTATCCTGTGTGGACGGAAGCCGAACGCAGGTTTCTGCCGTTAGGGATCCAATCGCCGCCTAATATCTGATGAAGAACCGCACGTTTATCAAAAGGATGACTTAAACCTCCGTGAAGAACAGTTTGACTTGGACTTTCGAAGACCAATGGCGAGGAAGGCCACCGTTATTTGCGGTCTTGTCGTCCGTGTAGACTTACCGTTGAACATGTGGCCCGATCATTCGTTGGAATGGTCGTCACCATTAGCAGAGGTCAAGAACCTACGACCTGCAGAGCAGCGATAGGCCGGCGCTTGTTGTTCTACGACAACATTACATCGATGCTACGAGGGCTCAAGGGGGCGCAACGGTTCGCACGGAAGTGCCGCAAGAACAGAAAGAAGCACACGCACTTTTTTTGCACCGGAGAGAAGGTTGTGCGGCGTAGTGGTTTTCGATCGAGACAAGAACGAATTGGTTCTAGCAAAGGTTACACCCAATACGCCAGGCTTCGGACTCGAACGTCAAACACCTTGGACAACTGCACTGCATGAAGCAGGGGGGATAACGTTGGCAAACCGCACAAAACAAATCAAGAAAAACCATCACACTAACTCTTCCTAAAATGAAAGCAGCAAGTACAAGGAACACTAATCAGACCTAGGAAGTAGTTTTAAGGTGGTGCGTGATTACGTCACCACGACGCCCCCAACCTGCCGCGTGAACGACAACCAGAAATTCCATCGGAGACCAGGGCGTGGCGTTGCTGGCGAGATCCCTTCGCGTCAACGACTCGGTGGAAACCCTTTCTTTGGGCGGCAACCGCGTGACGGACGAGGGGGCCCGGAGGCTGGCAGGTGATTAATTGTATAGGTTAGTTCACGTAAACAGAAGAGAGAGAGAGAGAGAGGAAGAATCAAGCTGGGGGTCGGCAGTAAAGTGCAAGTGTGTTACATGCCTGGCCTCCTTGAGCTGTTGCAGACGCAGGACAAAGAACGGGCGCTTGAAGCTAGGTTGAAGTTGTCGGCACAGATATTACTCTAGCTTTCCTCTTTCTGTTGAACGTTCCGCTCCCCAGGCGTCGCTAAAGGGCCAAGAATAGTGATGCCAGAGTACAGGGAACGCGACGATGGCCGCCTGAATAACAGGAATCCTCAAGGTTGCCTAGATGTCTCCCCCTGAATTTTGTTCGATTACGCTGATGCCACCATATCTTGGTCGGCGTTGCGGGCGCTATCGTCGTGGCGGCTTGGCATTTTCTCTGCCAGGCTTGTTGAAGAGCGGTCGGTGTTCGCTGAAGGCGCTCAACCTTGCAGGAGCCACCCCGCGCCCTGCCAGGTTAGGCCGGTCGACTGCTCGCTTCCCAGTACGATATCCTCCTTGCCTGTTCGTATCCCTTACGGAAACAATCATCCATTCGCAAGGACTCTGAACATAAGGGTACTTGGCGGTTGCAGCGACTCGCTCGGGTCAAAGCCGTAGCAAAATACGTTGTATTATAATCAACCAAAAATTACTGCTGCTTCCCTGAAGCACCCTTTCGTACACGAAAGCCGCATACTTTCTGGGCATGGTTGGGCGACAAGCAGGTACGATGGGTTGCTGCTGCTAGCCCATAGTTTTGGCCAAGAATTGTGGTGCCCATCTCTGTACTCTTCGGACGAAGGGTTCAATGGTGGGCGCCTGACTTACGTAGCGACAGGGTATAGGGACGTGTTCGATGCTTTCACCCCGCTTGCCCGTTCGGACACACGCGGACACGTACACCTTAGATACTCGGGCGTTGGTCAGCAGGCTGTCGCGGTTGACACTAGCTGCAGGACACGATCGACATTAGCTGCGAGACATGATCATGCACACACACACACAGCTGCCTTGGTAGACCCGTGCAACTTTATTCTGTTGCTACCGTTTCTGTCTTTCATCCGGAGAATAACTGAACCTCCCCCATGCCGCCCCCTCACGGTGTCCCAGTTCATGGAATATAGAAGGGTTTCGTGTTTTCAACCGCACTGAGACTGACGTCTTTTCATTTGGTCAGACGGTTCACACGGCCAGTGCTAACGACATTCATGCTCACACATAACACACACGTCGGTCCCTGGCGATCATCTTCTGCTTCTTGCACCTTCTTCATTCGTGCTTGAACACGCATACGGAGGTGCTTTCTGGGGTGGACGGATGGACAACATTCACTTCGTCCTGCTGTTGTTGTGCTGGTCCTTCCCTCTGATTGTGTGTCCTGCAGCATCATGCAGAGTGGGTCCGGGATCCAGGAAGACCTGGCCGACAAGTGCATCCGTGCGCCGGGGGCCGCGGCGCTAGCACTAGCTCTCTGGGAGCCCGTCCCTCGCAGCGGTGTTTGTTCTCTCCTTAGCCTTAACCTCGCCTTCCAGAGGTATGCCGGCTGCAGCTGTCGATGGCGCCGCCATTGTCGTGATTGTTGCGGTTAGAGCTGTAGTTGGTCGGGGTGGGGAGTTGTTGGCAGCCTTGAGTGGCACCCGTGCTGACGTACATAGTCCTAAAAAAAGTAACCGTGATTGAGCGTTGCAGGGAGATATGCTTCGATCGACGGTTCCTCTTTCTACCGCTGCTCAGTTTCTTGTTCCAGAGGCATCCATGGTTGTTGACAGGTGACGGTTTGGTGCTACTCTACCAACGTCGGGGGTATCGCCTACGGTTACCTACCCGCCAATGTTTTTTTGAAACAGCAACGTGAACCCACTTCTATCGCTTGCACTCGAGTTTTGGCGGCGAGGTCGTCGTATCCCCTGTTCGGCACGGTCGTAGCAATTGCGGCCTTTCATTGCGCGATCAGCGTCCCCGTGGAGAGGGCCTTAGCAAAGATCGTACTATCCCATGTCTGTGTCGAATGCATTGTCAGAGCGAAATACAGTTGTAACATGAAGCCGAGCGTCATGCTGCTTTTCTCGAGGTGCCCCCCGGTCGCACAGTCTCCTGCAAAGGCTCTTATATCTCGACTGACGGCTTACGGTGTACCGCCTTTTGGTTTCCTGGGCCTCAGTGACGTCCTCCAGACGTATGTGTCCCGAAGACGCGCCCTCCCTAAAAGGGTAGACGTGTCTAACGAGTGGCCCACAACTGCTTAACTTGACGTCTGGGTTCGCCTAGCGTCCACCATTTCTATCTACCTAACTAACCAGCTGAACTGCGGCACCCCCGACGGAGTTAAGATCCGGACAGGAGTTTCTAGAGAAGAGTAGCGGGGTGCTTCTCTTCAAGCGTTCAGTGCTACGCCATTGGTCAGCGTGCTTGGTCGTGCCCTTCTTCCCCGTGGAGGGGGTCCGCGCAGTTTTTCCACCTGACACACGGGGGGGTCTACTCCATCTCCGCTCCTCCGTGTCCCACCCAAACTTCTCGATCTGGCGGCGTAACTTATAAACAAAATTATGAAGAGTCTGGGACGCAGGAGCGATCGCCTTGGCGGCGGCCCTGAAGAGGCCGGGGTGTCATCTAGAGGTGAGGTGAATTCGTGCCGAGGGTCAAGCCTCCTGATGAACGCAGCAGACTTCCCGGGGGGGTGAGGTTTAGGGGATCATATTGGCCCCTCCTCGAAGGGTAGAGGCTCAAGTTTTCCTGCGGGGAGGCAAAGTGACTGTGGTATGGCGAGCGAGAGACTTTAAGCGTTGCTCGACCACCAACCCTTTAAATGAGTCTAACCCGCTGTGGTGCGCTGGAGAGGGATCCACGTCCATATTCGCACTCTCCCGTCTAGTACAACGAAGAACACAAATTCGCCCCCACTGCCGTCAGGCGTTAGGGCTATCGGGCACGCAGCTCACAGATGTGGCTGCGGAGGCCTTTTCCCGCGCCCTGAAAGAGGGCCAGTCTGGAGGACGAGGAGGAGAAGAAGGAGGAAGAAGCGGAGGAGACATCGGCCAAAGCAGAGGACGGCGGGGGCCCCATCGTCCGATCCAGAAAGAGACGGGAACACGTAGTCCTGAGGGTGTTGGTGTTGGTGGCTGTGGTGGAAGTTGTGGCGGCAGCAGTGGCAATGGAAGCAACAGCGAGGAGGTCGAGGAGGAGGAGGAGGAGGAGGAGGGAGTTCGTGACAGAGATCGGGCCATCCGTCCATGCCGCTTGCGCCGTTTGGACCTCTCCCAAAATCACATCACGGACCAGGGGGCACGGTACGGTGGAAGCCTCGCACCAATCGAGACTTGAGTAAAAGATTTTACCACGAAAAGCCGCGCGAAACCCTTTGCGTCAAAAATGCCTCAGAAGGTGGAGCCTCGCGCTGTTAGAAGGCAATCATATCGTGCCTTGAGATGGCGGCGAGCACGAAGCTCGCTTGGCTCTGTTGCTCGATCACCAATGTGGTCACCGTACAAAAGCTTTGTCCCTTGCGCTGTACCCTCCGTGGTCTGATCCCGATTGTTGCCACTTTGGCTATACGAACCGAACGAGCTGTAGCGCGAAGTTCACCTTAGATGCCGGGCAGATGCAGCATGGTTCGGATCTCAACTTTGTGCTGTGCTTGTCTGCCCTAGAAAACTCAACTACCCGAAAAACTTGTCCTGTTACTCTCCCCCGCCCCCCTCCGCTTCGGTACGTTACTGTCTTCGTGAAAATGGACAATCTTCCTGCATTGGCCCTAGCCTCAACTTTGCTGTTCCGTGATATAGATGGCGTGTGGCCTTGCGATGCCAGTCCGTCTGCTGTCTCCCATCCCCTCGCCCACGTCTCCCCTCTCCGTTTTCACTGCATTTCCTCGCTTCCGGCCCTTTCGTTGTTTTCCTGTACTTTTCCCAAGGGCCTTGGCGGCCGGGCTTCAGCAGAATGGCCTCCACCTCCAAAATCACAACCGTCACCCCATTCGCCGCCGCCGCAGCAGCAACAGCAGCGCAAAGAACAACGAAGACAGTCGTGGCGGAAGCCTGGGTGGCACGTTTCAGATCTCCGACTCGTCTTCTCCGAGACCGAACGTTCGAGCAGTGTCACAAACAAGCCCCGCGGCGGCCGCCGCCGCCGCCGCGATCTCCACTTCATGCTCATGCCGGCCTATCGCCTCCGCCAAGAGCCAAGTCGTCGGGTACCGAACACAGTCTCCTGCCCTGCGTGCCGCCGACCAAGCTTTGCGAACGACTTCAGCCCCTGCCGCTCCGGGACGGCCTGGTCTTCCGCTGCAACGAGCACCTCAAGCAGCAGCGATCACTTTGGCCGGGTCTTCACTCGATAACCAGTCACCACGGTACTCAGCATCGGCAGAAGCAACATCCTCCTCGTCAAGGCCTATGCCCCCGTTCGAAGTATCGGGCGATAGTTCGACGACGACGGAAGCACCAGGGGAGGGCTTGTTGGGTCTCGATCTGGCGTTCAACTGCATCGGTCGCGCGGGGATGGCCGCTCTTCACCGCGCTCTCGCTTCCGACGCCATGAGCGTCTTGTTCTTGGAGCTTCGGGGGAACGAAACCACAGGAAGCACCGAACGCCGTGACACCACCAGCCCAGAACCCCGCTCCCACCGCAGCGACGACAACGGCGGCGGCGGCGGTAGTGGCGTCAACAACAACAGCAACGACATCCACACCAACAGCAGGGTTATGACAGAGAGCAACACATACGACGACGACGACGACATCAGCAACAGCAACCCCGTGGAAACCCCGCCTCTCGAGGTGCTCCTGGAACATATCGGCAACGTCTGCGCCGAGCGGAGGCGAGACCGACGGCTGCAAAGCGAGCATCTCCGACCGCACCACCGCCGCTGCTCCGCGGCAGCAGACCGACGAGAACCGCGCGCATCATCGTCTTCGCCACCAAGGCACACATCAGTAGGACAACCATCCACACCTCAGAGCGCCGTTCTCCATCCCGGCCGGGACCGACGGCCAGCCACCGGAACGGCCACAGCAGCGTTTGGAGTCGGCGGTGACACACGCGACATCGGCAGTACTCCGCGCCTCCCCGGCCATGGCAACAGCGTTACCAAGCCGAGGCCGTTAGAGGGGGCGCTGCCCATGCGCGGCTACTACGTTGGCCCGCTTCTGGACAGCTCCTTCGACCTCCTCATGCTCAGGGAGCCGGTGGTGGACCCTACCGACCAGTCCGTCTACGTCAACCGGACCAGGGACAAGATCGAGCAGAGAAGAGCGCTCCGAGAACAGCAGCATCGGGGCGGCTGTGCTGGTGGTGCTGGGAGCGGTGGCGTTGGAGGTGCCGTTGGAGGAGGAGACCGCGGCGGTGGCGGGAGCAATAGCAGAGGCGGTGGACATGGCCAGCGGGGCGCTGTGGAGAATGTGGCCGCCGCTGCTGGAAACAGTGCCGGGGAGAAGACCTCAGCAGCGCCCTCAGCGGCGCCGGAGAAATGGACGCCCGTTGAACCGTTGAGGGCAGGAGACCTAGGTATGAGTGAAGAGAAAGAAGACCATCGCCAGGCACTTTACCCCGTTTGTCACGTGCCTGTGAGGTCTACTCATCGACATACACACACTTGCAGAGCCGAGCGAGTCACTTGTTCTGACTCACGCCCCCGCCCCACCTACTACCGTAGGGGGTTTGCCTTGGTTTGTGGGGACAGCGATCCAAGCATGTCCGGTTTTCTCTAGTCACTCTGCGCTCCTTTCGTGGAATGGATGATTATGTCGATGCACACCTGCAAGTCCGTGGCATACGAATATTCACACCAAATCAACCCCAATCGTTTGCCCAAAGCGAGCAACAATTCTTCATTTCCCGCTGTTCCCTTGTTACCAGTGTCCCCTATAACCACCAACCTGGAACGGGAGCACGTGATGGCGGAGAGGCGCCGCCTCTATCAGATAGACAGGTAAACACGAGAAGGAAACAGGAGCAGTCGATACGACAACCGCGTCAACCATACAGAAAGCTGACGTGTTTACCCCGGACATTTTTTTCTCAGCTGCGAAGACCGAATCGTGCGTTCCGTCGACCCCAAGAGAAGCAACAGGCGACAAAAAACCATGGCATGGAAACCATACGTACACACGCGTAGCAATGTGTCGCAGCCCATTTACCAGCTGTCTTGGCTCTTGTTGTACCTTTCTTGTCGGAGTGTCATATGTTTTCCCCTGATGTTTGCCCTTCACACATCGTAAGTGACGTTGTTGTCGTGCTTTTGATCTGTTGGGCAACCCTGAAAGACAACCGGGCGGTATATCGTCCGATGACTGGTATTTTTTCTGGTCGTTGTCTCAACATCGGTGCAAAATAAATGTTGAGAGGGGGCTTGCACGAGCTTTCCGCGAAGAAGAAGGCCGATAGGTCTCGGGGACAGCAAATCTCCTGTGCGTAAAACTTCATCAAGATAGTACGAACGTCAAGCGCGTACGCGTAAGGCTAGATTGCAGCGGTCAATGTAGCTCCTTCCATCGCCGTGTTTTTTCTAAGACGCAAGTTTTATCGCCTCGAGTTCGCCACGAGAACGGGCGAACTACGTGCACATGTAGCGTCGGTAGTGCAAAACATGAATTGATATAGAGTGCCATGTCCTTCCACATGGCAGGACGGCATGCGAGCACGTTGCAGATATCACGAGTGTGTCTAGGGGCTAGCTTAGGGCGGGCGTACAACAGGCTGTATCCCCCCGCGCTCAAACTCAAAGTCAAGAAGAGGGAAAGCCCACCGACAAAGATATGCCTCGCAGATACTTCTCGAAAATTTATTCCCATTCCCGGATGGGTGTGGATAAGTGTGGCCCTTTCTCCCTTTTTCGTTTTCAGTGACTTTGCCGCCAGGAAGAACGCGAGGGTAGCCGGCTGTGGGCGGTCCAATTATTCTCGCAGCAAGGTGAGGCAGCATCTGCGGTCGTCGTCGTCGTCGTCGTCGTCGTCGCGGTCGTCATCGTTGCTGTTGCTGTTGCTGTTACTGTTGTTGTTGTTGTTGTTGTTGTTGTTGTTGTTGTTGTTGTTGTTGCTGTTGTTGTTGTTGTTGTTGTTGTTGTTGTTGTTGTTGTTGTTGTTGTTGTTGTTGTTGTTGTTGTTGTTGTTGTTGTTGTTGTTGTTGTCGTCGTTGTTATTGTTGTTGTTGTCGTCGTCGTGGTCGTTGTTGTCGTTGTTGTTGGTGTTGTTGCTGCCATTGTCATCTTTGCCGTTGTTGTTGGTGTTCACATCAGGTATTTTCTCGCTTTCTCTTCTCAACATCTTCGCGCCACTGCAAGCACACGAGGACGGCAGTGCAGAAGTACTTCTCCCAACAACAGAACCATTGGACGGCACCCCAATTTCGAGAACCGCAACAAACGCACTATATGGCGCCGTACACACAGTCGCCCATACCCTATGTAACCCTCACCCTCACCCAACCCTTCAGACAATTCCCATGTTCCGACCAATCCACCATTCCCGTGAAATTCCGTCCTCAACCGCCATTCATACCGCGAGAAAAGATGTTGACGCACAAGACCAAGAACGCGGCCTTCACGAAGGAGCTTCTGAAACAAGCTCCGGGTGTCGGCGGAGTAGCAGCGAAGTGCCCGCGAGGTCTAAAGTCTCACTTCCTGGGGTTGCAGAACTTCGAGTACGATTGGGGGGGCGGAGGTCGACGAGGGGGCGGGGTGACTGGAACGTGAAACTCGATCGGGAGCGCCCCTCGCGGCAACAGGAGGACCTTTGTTCCTTCGCGTTGTCATACTTTGTGGTTGTGGTTGGACGCGTGGCTGGTGTGAGTTCTCGATGCAGCCTCGACATGCGGTACGCCGGCCTGCCGAGACTAAACCCGTGAGCAACTTTGTAGTTGGTTTCGCCCGCATTCAGATCTCATTAGGGTATCCGACCCTCGCATCAAGAGCTCACCAATCTCGGTGCCTCTACACCTAAACTCACTACACCCAGACCTCACCAACCAGAGTCCTGATGATATATGCGTTGTGTTATGTATTTTCTGGATTGTTCTTGGTTGAAACCCCGCATGGCGCACACATGTATGCATGAAGAGAAATGAACAGGAGATTTCAAATAGTCAGAATCCTGGCCGGAAAGATGACTTGAAATTGCATCCTGCCGACACGGGCCTTCCTCCGACCGTATATTTTTTCTGTCCCGAGAAGGCAAATCGTCCGTTCGTTGTGCTGTTCGAGTTGCAGCAGAAATGTATGGCGTGCTTTCTTTTCTGACGTTTTTACGTGGCCAATCACCTTGTGGCATGTGCTGACCTGCTTTTTTTGTTAACCTCCGAAACAACAGCTGCCACCGATTTTTTCCTGATCACAGCAGCAGTAGTATAGTGACGTCTTGCGGCGGACTGTTCGAACCACTCTCTCTCGTGTATTGCCATAACTTTATTAGGAGGAATCAACACGGTGACGCTTCGGTCACCGCCTTGCTGAATGCACGCTGGAAACGCTACGGGATGCTCTTCCCCGCTCTCGTGCACCACCCACGCGTACACGCTCACCCCACAGCCGCTCTGACAGCTGTCGCGCCAACGCTCAGTCAGCTGTTGGCATGTGCTGACACACGGTTTCAGCAGCAGAAATAACAGCTGTAACCGTGTGCGTTTTTGGTTGAACCTGACGTATCGTTGCGGACTGTTGGACACGACAGACCCAGCAGCCCACAAAGAATCAGTGCAAAGTCTTTTCTTACAGCCCAAAAACAAATCGTGAGATTCGGGGGAAGGATACACAATTCTGTGAACAGTGAACAAGCGTCCGGAGTTCTAAGTTCTACAAGTCCTTTCATTTTCGACAGGGGAGGATAGAATTCTCTTGAGTGAGAGAAACGTGGATCATTGACACAACCCCCGGCTAATTCCCAGCAGTTAGAGTTTCCACTCCAAATGCATCTGGCAGCTGGCCACCATCAACAACACGATCGTCCGCTCGGAGGTCATGTGTATTCTCCTGTTGTACCACGAGCAGGAGGATAATATCTAGCATAGATTGGACCTCTTTGCCGCTAGTACGTAGTAACCGTTGGTGATCGTTCTGTGTACGTAATCGTGCGCTGTCTAGAATTCCTCACCACACACTCATCCGATTTCGACCATTGCTCAAGTGTGAGAGGACATGACATTGTTCCGTTGGTCAAAAGTTTTGGCGGTCGGGGGGCAGCCCAAGGCTGCTGTATTCAGTCTGTGCAGCGTGCGCGAAGTATATATATAACTTGGGGGTGATTTTGACACACCGTTTTCGATTTTCGTTTCGCCACATGCATCCAACCAGGGTCTTTGTGCCTCCAATAGGCCATCGCTGGCCTCCAGCAAGCGGACCACACAGTGACCAGCACGAGCGAGTGAGCAAGTTCAACCGCAACGTGCATGCCTCGCCGTATTTTCAGGGGAATCGTTTTGCAGTCCTGAGAGGCACGAAAGGGTCTTTCACATCTCACATCACAGAATCTACTCTGCTGTATCTCTCTTGTTCCTTGTAAATAGTCCTCAGCGGCACACATCCCCCGCCCCATCGTCTCGAACTCGCCGCCTTGCCGCAGGGGGCCTGGAGCCTCCCCCTGCTTCTCTTCCACACCTGCTCCTGCTTTGCCGACGTGCATGTACAGCTGCAGTGGAGGTTGATCCGCAATTAATTTCTTGTTGTTCCCCGGCCGGCGCGCCCGGTCAGTGCTGTGTGTGGTGCGTGGAGCTCGGAGCTTTGATGGGCTGCGGACCAACACCGGAATCCGAGAGGCGGACCAACAACGGAATCCGAGCAGAGCGATCATATCCTGCATGGAATACACTGCATTCGGAAAAATACATTTTTTGGGAGCGGACGGAGGTGTCTAGACGAAACAGTAACCAAAGTGGTTTCCTACCTGGGGGAGACAGCAGCATGTCGCAGAGTTCCTCGTACGGTGAGCGCAGGTTGAACTTCGTTATCAGAGGTAGACTACGAGATGTTGGTGTCATCTACAGCACAACGTACATGGACTGTTTTCAACCATAGAATCAGTACATGGTCTGTCGAACACAGCATCAGGATCCCACAGTAACAGTATCTCAGCGTTCTCTCCTTGCTCTGTTCAGAGCTCTCTCCACAACACGGCGTCGCTGCTGTACTCCTGGTATTTCCGATCCTTCTACCCCCCCCACCGACGACCTTAGCCCACGCTCACCACCAAAAAACACCTACCTGACCTGATTACTTCTTGTAGTGTATGACTTCCAGACTCCTGTCGGGCGTGTGTACCTTCGGTGTGCGACAGCATCAAGCGGGCATACTTGTAGTGTAGTGAAGATCAGGATATGTTCCTCACAGACGCCGCCAGTTCTGACGAGACGGGGTACAATTAATTGTAGCAGAGGTTAAAACCTATACATGAAAGCCTGTGCGCTTGCTACGATTCTCTTGACTCTCCTTCTTTGTTGGGCCACAAATGGTGCGCCGACCTCGTAATTGTGGGTGTGTCGCTTTTGCTCTCGCAGATGGACGAACTCCACACCGAGTCGACGGAGAAACATTGAAGCACTCTGCGCGTTTTTGGGGAGGTGTAGACTCCAGGTCGTGCAAGTTCACACAGCAGCCTCAGAAGCATCTGATGGACTGCTCGTATGTTGTGGGCTGCGGTGTGTGTTTACGATGATGGCAGTAGGTTACCGAGATCTTATCCAGATATATATCCTCACGAGACAATGTGCGGATTCGATGCAGAGCACAATAGAGAGAGACGGTAGGAGCGTGCGTGGGCTGGACACAGGCACGCTATGAGGTGCGGATGATTTGCCACGGTACAATGCATAGGTTACGCCGCTCTCACTCCCTTGTCTCCCCTAAGACTTGCGACTGAACTTCCTTCGCAACCGGATGGTTCGTGTCACCCTAACAACGATTTCGCCAATGTCGAATGCCCATCAGTGGAGGGCCCCTTCCCAAGTCATCAGAATCACTGGTTGAGGAAACGGCCTGATGTTGCAAAACATAGGTCTTGAAATCCCCCCACGGATGCATGCCGTGGATCTCCATAGCTTTTTTCACGGGGAAAGTTTACCATGGCTTTCCCTCGGCCGCCCCCCCCTCGACGACAGTGAAGCCGAAGTGTGTAACCCACGACCTAGATCGCTCTCTGCTTCAGTATTACAGGTACGCTGGAAACTTAAATCCCGCGGAAGAAACACCCTCGGCAGAGACAATCGAACACACGAACAACCTGTGCCGCTAGCGAGTGGTGCAGTTTGACCACCAGACCACCCCTAGACCAAGTGCCTTTAATATTCGTGCTGGTCCAACTTACGGGAGAGCCTCCCATGTTCACAGACGAACGGCTGTATGCATAGTGCCCAAGAGAAGGATGGTACACATTTTTTCTTCTACGGTAGCGATCAAACGGAACATCAATTTACTCAGTCAGTAAGTTCTCAAACCATCGCGATAGCAAATCACATGAGACATGCCGGGAGGCGATCGAGCCTGGAACCCCCCCCCCCATCAAAACATCAAGAGCTTAATTGGAAACAGGGGGAGTGCCCATCCAGACAACAGGAAGGGAGCCCATCGCTCCCGCTCGGCACGCGATGCCTGGCAATAGAGAACTAGAACAAATTTCACAATCAAATATCCCTTTCAGAAGACAAAAACACCCAAAGTCAGTATCAGCCCTCAACGAGGGAGCGTCTGCAAAGGCAAAATGCGCTTTCGACCCGTCTAGTTATACCTTCCGTATTGCGTTTGGTTTGACGTGTGGTTGTCCTTGCCAAGGCGCGATTGATCTTAGCCACCGCTACGTCCTAATTGCAAATCAGAAATATTGAAATTTTGATTGCTTGTTTCTCCGCCAAAAAGCTGCCCGCACGACCAAGGTTCAGATGGTTTACCTTCGAGCTCACTCTTTGTCACTGGTTATAATCAGTGCAAACCCGTCACGTCAACGGGATATTGATCGACAATTTTCCACCAAAAGGCACTTGGTTAGGATTTCATAGGAGATGACGAGAACGATGATGAACACTACAGCGAGCGGTGGAGAAAACAACATGGAGGAGGAAGGGAGAACTCGACGAAAGGTGGCGAGACAAAGGGGCGGGAAATTGAGCTGCCAAAAAGGGTTATTTATCACGAGGGGGAATACTCGTAGAATTAAAATTAGAGAAACTGCAAGAGAGACGGATGGAACTGATGTGGAAGAGAGCATACCTTTCGACCCAGATGATCCACCACACAAAACCCATATGCCGGAGAAACAGAGAACTGTCCAACAGAGGCAGAACCTTCTGACGAGAGGAGTACTGAGCGCAAGGAAGATGCTTAACCAGCAGCAACGCGCGGAGGGGGCAGAAAAAAACACGGGTAGCGAGTAGACACCGGTAGACACGATGCTTCTCGTCATCTGCGACCACCGCCGATTTTCTGTTTGTAGTCCGGAAAAATAGCCTCGCCTCGCCCATCACTTCTCTCGACAGGGTCCCAGATCATGGATGCTTTGAAGAGTTTTCCGGTTTCATCCGCACTGAGACTGACTCATGTTCACTAACCAACCAGTTAGCGTGGTAGATGCAAGTAATGCAGACACACACACAAATGCAGGCAAACATTCAGCGCGTTGTGCCTTTTTCGACGTTTGACCCTTCTTTCAGGGTCCTTGGTTGTACCCGCTGGCACTGACGTCTTTTCGTTGGCCGGCCGGTCCGCGCCGTCAA